AAAATGTGGTTTTATTGAAACCAACATTTTTTTTTTAATAGAAAAAATGTGAATTCAACTGAGAATGTTTTTTGTTTCCTTGTAGGATGGCTTGGGGGAAAAAAAACATTCATTTCAAATTGGCATTTCAAAGTGGAACTTTTTGCTTCATTTAGATGTAGACTGTTGCTTCATTTTGTCTAGAAATGTCAGATTGCAACACATTTGACCTTCACGTGGGTGTGCAGATTCCCAGGGGAAAACCCCAATTTGTCAAATGAAAACATTTCAAATGAAGATCTTTTTTTTTCATTTGAAATTTCCAAGGAAAAATGTTGGTTTTCCACTCAGCTCGATGACCTTTCTTTTCTATGTCGTTCTGCGTTCTTGCTGGGTTATGCAGTTCTCTGGTTTTCAGTGGAGCATTTAGACGGTCGAATGAAAGTCGATGCCCCTTTACTGAGAACTCAGTAGGAGCCCCCAGAGGAGATGAAGACAACAGTTAGTTTTGATTTTTTTGGATTATTAAATCATGCTGTCCATCTTGGTGTCCCTCAGCCCTGCCTGCATTTTTCAAAGAAGGATTAAAAAACAGGGAGGCCACAGAAGGTGCAACAGCCACTCTTCACTGTGAGCTGAGCAAAGCTGCTGTCCCAGTGGAGTGGAAAAAAGGGCACAAAACACTCAAACCAAGTGACAAGTATCGACCGAGACAGGAAGGTGCCGTGGCAGAACTGACCATCCGTGATCTACATGTGGAGGATACGGGAGATTATACCTGTGCGTGTGGAGACCAGAAGACCTCTGCTGTCTTGACAGTCCACGGTAATCAAAACCACCACGTTACGACCGCATTATTTCAGAGACCTTCCCGCCCATCAGAAATCCCCCTTCGATTTTTTTTTTCACCTATGCTCATTTCCTTTCTTTATCATCTGAATTAATGAAGCATAGGGATGACTTTCTTGCTACCTTCTTGCAGTGAAGGGGGCCAGTCATGCCTCTCAAGGCCAAATTTGTGCAGTCCCGATACAACATACTTTTGATGATATCGAAAGGAGACATGATCCCTCTTTATAAATACAGCAGGAGGGGAATTATAATGGAGGGAGAAAAGCTATTTCATCTAAAAGACTATACTGGCAAAAGAGCAAATGGGGAAAACTGTCCATGCATGGGTTTAGGCTGAGAATTAGAATTGGCCAGCATAGAAGCAAGATCCTGGGACAACCTCTCAGTAAGAGTAGAGGGGACAAAAAACCCAACAGGTTTCAAGAAGGGGCTTGCTCGGTTAATGGAAGGGATTATATTGGCCTGGGCAGTCACAGAGGGAGGGACAGCCCTTTCCGTTCTACATTACTGTGTCCCGAAATCTGGGGTCTGTGGGTTTTGATGTTTTCTCTGTCCGTGTTGCAACCCCCAGCTCTGCCCGCGCTGTTCACAAAAGAGCTCAGAAACGAGGAAGCCACAGAAAGCGGGACAGCAACTCTGCGCTGTGAGCTCAGCAAAGCCACTCCCGTAGAGTGGATGAAGGATCAAAAGGCGCTCAAGTCTAACGACAAATATAAGATGAGACAAAAGGATGTCACGGCTGAGCTGACGATCCACGACCTGGAGGAACACGATTCTGGAGATTATACGTGCATATGTGGAAACCAGAAGACCACTGCATCCTTGACAGTTCATGGTAATAGGGATTTCCTATGGGCTCATCCGTGGTTGCAAGTAGATGCTCTTGATATCATCTGTTAGAATATATTTCTATGGCAGCTGTCAATTTATATCCCTGAAATATCATAATGCGGGATTGAAATGATAACACCGTGCCGTTCTCTTTGCTCCATTTTCATAACGTGGATAAAAATTGGAAGCAAATCATTAAGTCATTGCTGAAGGTGCATAGACCAGCTTGAGTACTCTCCCCGCTTCATTGCTTTGATCGTACTGCTGAGATGCTGTTTATTTTTCTTGTAGAGGGTCGAAAACACGATCTAGCACGACTTGTGTGCTTATGATGATAGCCTGAGGAAGGGAGGCAAGAAAGGGAAGCAAGCCATACATCTTAACTTGCAATGCCATATAATATACTGGGTACATGTTAAGTGCTGGCATAATCACAGCACAAGCTACAGCAGCAGGCCATCTTTTTGGAAAGTTCAGCATAGGTTTTTCTAGTTGGTATATGTCTGGAAATGCCTCTCAGTCCTAACCTTTCAAACCATCGTTAGTCTGGCACTGAGACTAACCAAGTATTGCTGTACTTGGTGCATTGGGAAAATAGCAACTCCCACCCCACTTGGGACCCCTGACGTAGCTTTTGTTTGCATCTCAGATCCCGTGTCATGTAACCTGGGTTCACAGAGAATAAGATTAGCCCTCTGTTCTCGTGCTACCACCCAGCTGAATTTTAAAGCCCTCTCTCTCCATCCCGTGACCTTCAGCCCTCCCTCTGCGTTTCAAGAAGGAATTGAAGAACTTGGAAGCCACCGAAAATGGGGCGGCCACTCTGCGCTGTGAGCTGAGCAAGCCTGCTGCTCCAGTGGAGTGGAAGAAGGGAGACCAAGTGCTCAGGTCCAATGAAAAGTTCACCATCACACAGGATGGCGCAGTGGCCGAGCTGGTGATTCATGATTTGGATCCGACAGATGCCGGAAACTATACGTGCATGTATGGAGATCAGCAAACCAGAGCTGCCTTGACCGTGAATGGTAAAGCATATCTCCCCAGTTAATGGTATCATGTTCTTCCTTCTGTTTCTTGAAACATGACCGTGTCATCAGCTGAGTTTTTGCCTCAAGTTCAGCTTGCCGTCATTTACTCTACCTGTATAAATAAGGAATTATAATCTCTATTCCGTAGTTTCTTCAACACTGTGGATGATTCAAGCACAATTTTGGTGGATATAGAAATGAGGAACCAAATGCACTGAATAAGGCCACATGCTGGGCAGCCCTCACAGCAGAAACTTACACTGAGGATTGGAAAATACAGCTCCATTTCAACCATAAAGCTTCCAATTTTTCTTGTTCGGCAGTAGATATTAAAAAGGAAACGTTAATTTTACCAGGAGCTATGGGATAATGATATTATAGTCCAAAAAGAGGGCTATTGGGATAAAAAAACAGTTTTGTGATAGAAGGTACATATCCCCATTTCAGTTTTGAACAGAGGATTACATTTTCTTTGGGAAATAATGAAAGGTTGCTCAATAGCACACGAACACACGGGTCAAGGAAAAGTCCTCTACAGGAATGACATTAATGTCCCAGGCAGTATTTCACTTGTGGGCTTATTTTTATGAATTATCTGTATTTCAGTAACATAGAGGAACTGCAATCAGGCTTTGGTTCCCCATTGTGCAAGGTGCTGTACAAACACCGTGTTAAAAGAAACTCATTGTCTTGAAGACCATTTTGCAGGAGCTGAATGGCCAGGTTGTCTCTCTAGTTGTGTCACTGTGGACCGTGTTAAAAGAGAGAGAGACCCGTCTTATGTCTCTCCCCAAATCCTCCCTGAACATTGCTGTGTGGTTCTCACCCTGAGGGGTTGCACCTTGAATGCGGTTTGCTCACTCTTTGCGGTTCATGAACCGCAACCAGGTAGCATGCTCATCCTCTGGGCCAGGTTGCTGCCATGTTCATGCCCTCTGTTCCTTCTGCACCCCTTAGCCCTACCTGCACATTTCAAAGTGGAAATGAAGAAGGAGGAAGCCACGGAAGGGGGCACAGCCACCTTGCACTGCGAGCTCACCAAGGCTGCTGCAGTGGAGTGGAAAAAGAAACACAAGGTGCTCAAACCAGGTGACAAATATACCATGAGGCAGGAAGGCGCCACTGCCGAACTAGTGATCCATGATTTAGAGGTGAAGGACTCTGGCGATTATACTTGTGTATGCGGAGACAAGAAGACAACGGCCGCTTTGACCGTGCACGGTAAAAAAAAATGCTACGTTTAGATGTGTGCTTGTTCTACCATCCCCTCTGGACGCCTCAATACTGACGTCCCCCTAATTCCTATCACGTTCCCACCATAATCAGTCCCCCTGGTAATGCATTGTCCTTCCTACTGCCTGATCTCCATCTCAGTGGATCCCTGTGTGCTGTGATTACACCGACATCCCCTAGGTTCCCCCTATTTTCTCTCTTGTTAATGCATGGCTATACTTCTTTACGCTTGAAGTCCTTCCTATTTGTATAGCTATGGGCCCTCGTTGCTGTAATATCCGAGTGCCTCGTAGTCACTGATAAATTGCAGCCACGCTGTCTTCCTGCCCGGTGCAGGAGTATGGTAACCATGCCCTTTGTACACTGGGATGGGACGGAAGCGGCTGACGGTCACAAAGTCCATCAACAGAACTAAGGAATGAATTCAGGTTTCCTACCTACCTGTCACCGCCTTACTTACAGGAGTGTCTGCCTTCCAGACTCATCCCAATCTGCGGGATTTTCCCTTTCTAGCCCTGCGACGGCCAGTTTCATGGTAATAAGATGACTCTTTACACATGATGGACAGAAGCTTGTGACCCTCAGACTCATTTCACCTGTGGTTTGTCATGGCAGGCTGTATGAGAACGTTTGCTCCTTCTCTGTTTCTCAGCCCTGCCGGCTTTTTTCAAAGAAGAATTAAAACGCAAAGAAGCCACAGAAGGTGAAGTGGTCACTCTGCGCTGTGAGCTGAGCAAGGCTTCTCCTGTGGAGTGGAAGAAGGGGCACCGGGTCCTCAAACCAAGTGACAAATACAAAATGAGGCAGAAGGACACCACGGCAGAGCTGGTGATCCACCAGGTGGATGACAGCGATGCTGGTGATTATACCTGCGTGTGCGGAGACCAGCAGACCACCGCTGCCTTAGCAGTGCACGGTAACGGCAACTTTCGAACAGAGTTGTTCCTTTTCAGGTTCCTCCCGCGGATTTCTAGATCTGCCCTGGTGTCATTTGTCATTGATGGATGCTTTCTTTTCTCACTTTATTGTATGTTGCAGACATGGTAATTATAAATACGTGTGTGCGTGTGTGTGTATATACACACATATATATACATATACATACATGCATACATACATACATACATATATATATATATATATATATGTATGTGTGTGTGTCTATATATATTTGTGTGTATATACACACACACACACATATGATTACCATGACTGTAGTATATATACAATGCAATATATATACTGCAATATATATGACTGTACACACACACACACTATATATATGTAAAACACTATATACATACATATATACATATATATACACATATATAATAACACATATACATATACTGATATATGTATATGTATTTGTATATGTATGTGTGTGTGTTATTCTATATTATATGCTATTATGTTTTATAAAATATGTGCTATGTGTGTATCTGGTCACGGCAATTATTTTCTATAAAATTATCTTATGCGTATAAAATAATTGCCATGACCAGATAAATATATGAACTATATTTTATAAAACACATCATAGACATATAACAACACTATGTGAAATAGTTACCACATACATATGGTTTTGGTTTTAGGGGAAAAACAGCACCATAAGCCTCGAGGCATATCTGTGTTAGGACGCTAAGCTGATAAGTACTTGTTATGTAGAGTGAGATGGGCCATTAAGCCTGCACTTTCCCACCTTTTCCCTTACCCATAGCCTTTCCTCTTCCCTGTCTCCTGGTGTTTGCACTCAGTGGTCCGTTGTAACGCCCTCTCTGTTACGTCCCCTCAGCCCTGCCTGCGCTCATCAAAGAGGAGCTGAAGAACGTGGAAGCCACGGAAGGCGGCACAGCCACCCTGTGCTGCGAGCTGAGCAAAGTCGCTCGAGTGGAGTGGATGAAAGGGAGCAGCTTGCTCAAAGCTGGTGACAAGTACAAAATGAGACAAGACGGTGCCACGGTGAAACTGCTTATCCATGATGTGGACCCAAAGGATGCTGGAGTTTACACCTGCGTGTGTGGAGATCAGAAGACAACGGCTGCCTTGACAGTGCACGGTAAAAACAGAACGACATGTGCAGTTGTGTGTGTCTGCTATCTCCTTGGGGGCGATTGTGCATGCAACTGTACCTGGGCTTATTTAGCAGCTACTCGTGTTACTTTTCCTTTGTCTGTCCTATTCCTTGGAAATTTCCTGTGTGCATTAATGGGCCTTAAAAATATCTTGTGAAGAAAGAAAGCTGACTGCAACCAATTCTCATTTCCCTTACTCCATGCTCTTACCCTTGTTTTCTCCTTACAACCTATTCATTCCCTCTGCCCCACTGAGGCCGGTCACCCGGCACGTCCTATTTTTAACGTAGCCCCCATTCGTTCTGTGATCCTCAGCCCTGCCTGCACTTTTCAAAGAAGCACTGAAAAACCTGGAAGCCACCGAAGGTGAAACAGCCACTCTGCACTGCGAGCTGAGCAAGCCTGCTCCGGTGCAGTGGAAGAAAGGGGTCAAAATACTTCACGCGAGTGAAAAATACAGCCTGAAACAAGATAATGTAACTGCTGAGCTGAAGATCCATGACTTAGGTCTGCAGGATACAGGAGACTACACATGCGTGTGTGGCGAGAAGCAGACCAGAGCTACCCTGACAGTGAATGGTAAATCACATGTTGCAAATGAATGGTTAATGTGCTCCTGGGTGTTCCCTTGACACCCATTATCAGAGTCACCTCCTGTTTTAGGCTCATCATTTTTTTTTTTTTTAATTGGTGTATAACTGAAAGAGGACAACTACACGTTTCCTTCTGGAAGCTGTAGGAGGAGAGGGACAGGGGATGGATTAATCTGGATATTCCCTGCTTAAATATTCCCTCTGCATCCACTCTGCTGTAGTGAGAGATGGGAGCCAGGGTTGGATGGCCCTGTGGTGTGGCCCAGTGTGGCATTGCTTATGTTCATCCACCCGGAGAAGCTGTTGCAAAATAAGCTACGGCTCAGTAGCTCTGTTGCACTGACTCTCGGCGGGCACGTCCAGATGAACGCGCACGTGTGGTTTGCAGCGCTGCAAACTGCAAACTGCATGTGCCACACACGCATGCATTTGCTGTGTTGAGTGGGGTTTTTTGACACCACGAGATCCCGGTGTCAAAAAAAAATCTCATAACAGAAAAAAGCAGAGCGGTGCATGAGGGTGCAGTGTGCGCCGCCCAAACCTGGAGCCTGGCCAGCCAGAACCATGCTCCAGCTGCCGGCCAGGCTCTGTGTGCCTGGATCATCACTGCTGCAGCCCTGGGTGAACCCCAGGACCCTGGGTAAGGCTGCCGGGGCCAGCCCAGGTGCCGGCCCCAGTCTCCCCTACCCTACCTGGGGCAACTTGCTGTGTGCCAGCGTGAGTGTGCAGGGGCATTCCCCAGGGACACGTAGCAGCGGCACAAATACGTGCCACTGCTATTTATCCCTGGGGAAATGCATGTTCCCACTCACGGGGACGCAGCCCAGGTGGGCACACTCACTGTGATATAACTGCCATGTTATGTGGAGCGAATGTTGAAATAGCTATTTTACGACGGCCCGTGAAGGCTATATTTCCATGTGGACAAACCCTTAGGCTGTAAATTCAAAAAGAAAAGGGGCTGCTCGTATTCAGCCCAGAGAGAGAGACTGGCTGGATCCAGCACAGCTGTGGAGACTGGTGTACGTTATGCACATTTTCCTATATGCTTTTTTTCCCCCCCAGTGCACTTCATACCAAATTGAGCCATGAGTATGTTGAGCTTTTTATGTTGTGCATCCTCTGTGAGTGGCTGGCAGCTGAGCTCTGTTTGCAGGATGCAGTGATGGTGACCACAACTGGAGTAGCTAGAATGAGGTCCCAAACGATTCAGATGTCAACCCAAGTCATAAGGGGTGACAGGCCTTCATTTGGCCACCAACTGCAGCCCTCTGATTGTTCACACACTGTCTGTTGACTTTCTGCTCCTCAGCCTTGCCCGTGCTCTTCAAGGAAGAACTGAAGGAGGCGGCAGGTACGGAAGGAGGATCTGTCTCCCTGCACTGTGAGCTGACAAAAGCTGCTCCGGTAGAGTGGAAACTAGGGCAAAACGTGCTCAAAGCAAGTAGCAAATATCAAATGAGGCAGCAAGGTACCGTGGTCGAGCTGGTTATTCATGGAGTAGAGCTGAAGGATGCTGGAGATTACACCTGTGTGTCTGGTGACCAGAAGACGACCGCTGCTTTAACAGTACATGGTAAAAAAAAACCCCAAAAGTCAATATTAAAGTATTTTCTAATATTCCTGAAATAGCTCTGTCAGTCCCTGGATTCATACCCAGGTCTCGATATCAGTTCATCGTGTCTCTGTTGCTTCTTCCATTCCACGCACGGCTCATTTCCAATGCAGTTATGCTGCAGGGCAAATGTCTTGAGTGTTGCCAGTTCACCCCTCCGAACGGAGGCAGCAAAAAAAAGTTCTTTCTTTCCCCCCTGCCGCCACCTCTTTCTTTTGCATCTCCCCCACCTTTTCCCCCTCGGTGTCCATTTCTCCGGCTCACCCCGGCCGGTTGCATTCCTTCGACAAGCATTAATGTGCTGTTTATTGTGCCCTTAGCTCTTCCTGCTCTTTTCAAAGAAGAATTAAAGAGTAAAGAAGTCAAAGAAGGAGGAGAGACCGCTCTGTCCTGTGAGCTGACCAAAGCTGCTCCCGTGGAGTGGAAGAAAGGGGGCACGGTGCTCAGAGAAAGTCAGAAATACAAAATGAGACAGGAAGGTGCCCTGTCCGAGCTGGTTATCCGCACGCTAGACGTGAAGGACACTGGCAACTATACGTGCGTATGTGGAGACCAGCAGACGACGGCCACCTTAACCGTAACGGGTAAAGATGCCTTCTCCGCAGTCACAGCTGTTTCATGTTCCCGGCTCCCAAGAAACAACCCTTGCTGTGTGTTAACATTTCCTTTGTGTTGTGCTACTGCGCACCTCATCCAGTGCAACACCCTTTTTTTTTGGAAATAACATCCCTCAGCTCTGAAGACCTAGAGGCTGCTTATGCAGAATGGTTTTAATACACATTTTAATACCCACCGTGCTTCTCCGAAGCATGGACCAGGGCACTCTTCTCACTCCTTTCTGGGACGGGCGCTTTCCCCCTCCTCTCTCCCTGCTGGACACCGGTTATGCATGAAGCTGGTTTGATTGCACTTTGTGTTGTAAGAATTTGCTCCATGCTCAGGTCCTGCTCTTGAAGACACAGGTCTGTCCGCATCACGTACAGCTGTTTTATTTTGCAGATTTGAGGAGGTCCCAAGCAAGCATTAAAATTCTCTGGGCTCTTTGCATCTGTCAATTCAAAATTGGAAGTTTATGATTTATCTCTTGCTTTCATTATTTTGGCATGTAAAGTCTTAAGACCACCTCAACCTCCAGGATGTCATATCTGTGGAGGGAAAATACCACTAAATCTGGCAAACGGCAGGGGTCAGCTGGATTAACACAACAACTACACGTCAGCTATAATGTTCTTTGCTTAGGAAACATGAGATGTGGCATGATCTGGACCCCGGGACCCTACTCCCGTGTTGTTAAGCAGCTGCAGGAATTGAAAGCATGGAGAGACAGGGCTTAGGATAGGATATTCACTTTTACAAGCTGGTCGCACCGAAGCAGACATTAGGCTAGGATAAGTGAGGAAGGTGTGAATGGAAATATCACGAGTAAAAAAAAAAAAATGAAAAAAAAGAAATTGGGTTTCACATTCTGGAATTGCAATGACCCCTTGTCCATGTTGCATCCTTTAGCCTTGCCAGCGTTTTTTAAGGAAGAGCTAAAGAATAAGGAAGGTAAAGAAGGTGGAGAAGCCGCTTTGCACTGTGAGCTGACCAAGGCTGCACCCGTAGCCTGGAAGAAAGGACACAAGATTATCAAACCCAGTGAGAAGTACAAAATCAGACAGGAAGGTGCCACTGCAGAGCTGGTGATCTGTGATCTCGATGAGAAGGATGCAGGAGATTATACCTGTGTGTGTGGAGAATATCAGACCACAGCTGCCTTGACAGTGCAGGGTAAAGCTATTTCATAATCCATATCTATGTTTTCTTTGCTATCTACTTGCTTTGCAGGATGCCTCTGCTGTGTGTGGTCATATTCCTTCATCTTTTCTGTCTTCCTCATTCACTCCCATCCCATTTCCTTGGATTAACAAATCTGGGCTTTGAGGAACCGGAGGCTACATTTATAGAAAAATCCCATTAAGCACCGTCCTGTGCTACGTGACACGTCCTGCTTCCTCCTTTTCTGTTTCTAAAACAAACTTGTCTATTCTTTAGTCTTTTTTCCTGACAGTTGCTTTCCCTGTCTGTCCCTACTGTTCGGCGAAGGAAGGAAATAGTACTCAGACACAAGCCTACGTTAGCTGAAATTTCCACTATCTGAATTTATTTTCCATTAGAGGTGTGTTCCTGCAACCACTGCTCGTATCGCACAAATACAGTTTTGCTCTGACATTTGCTTTCCTGTGGGAGCAATGATGACTTTGGGCTAGGATTTGAATCTGCTTTCAGGCTGATATAAAAAATCAGGAGCCGTGTCGCTGCCATTAGTACTTCCGTTTCAAATGGGCGTAGGAGAGAGATATCAAGTCAAAGAAGGCTGGACGTAGGGTCCGGGGTTGGGATTGGGGGTTGTCGTATTTTTGTGTAAGTGCAGCTTCACCACTACAAGTTGAGCGCTGAGATGACCTCGCACGTGCTTGAGCAGGAGAGCTAGCCATGCACGTCTCATCAAACACTGTTTGGAAGAGGTTGTTTTCTTTTGATGACTGGTGAGCCTAGCAAGGGCGACATCGGGAAAAGCGAGGAGGAGCAGCCAAATGGGATTTCTTGTTCTGGGAAAGGAGAACGAGTCGGGTGCAGACTCTGAGCTCCAGTTCTCTCACTTTTTGGAGAGAGTCCATTGGCATTTTTCTTTAAGGAAACACTCTGTGAGCTGAGCCAGACTGATCCACTGGAATGGAAAATGAGGCACAAAGGGATGAAAGCAAGTGAGAAATGTAAAATGATGCCTCAACGAGCCTTTCCAAACCTGGTTCCTTATCATCCAGGTCAGGATACCAAAGAGTACAGTCTTGACACTCCTTTTAGTGACAGTAGTAGAAACCTGGATGAATTGTACCCAAGTCAGCAACATTACACTATTCTAAACCTGGGACAAGCCATACGGGGAGCTAGGCCATCTCTTCCTCTCGGGTTATAATGCCATTGCTAGTTGTCTGTTGTTCCTCCTCTGTTCTCCAAGCTCCTTCTTCCTGTAGCCTTCCCCGTTCTTCCCCTACCATCCCACTTGTCATCCACAAACCGCCGCTGCTTGGTAATGCGTTCTGTATTGCACCCCCAGCTCTGCCTCCATTTTTCAAAGAGGAAATGCACAGCAAGGACGCCCGCGAAGGTGACACAGCCACACTGCGCTGTGAGCTGAGCACGGCTGCTGCCTCGGTGCGGTGGATGAAGGGACACCAGGTGCTCCAGCCAGGCAGCAAGTACACGATGAGACAAGAAGGCTGCATTTCAGAGCTGGTGGTCCACGATATCCATCTGAAGGATATAGGAGATTACACCTGTGTGTGTGGAGACCAGAAGACCACAGCTGCCTTAACAGTGCATGGTAAAATGACAGTGTATCAGGAACTCCCTGTACGTCTCTGTTTACTGCTTGACCTGTGAAATCCAGCCGTGTCCTTGTATTGCCAGCTTTTTTCCTTTATAACAGGGTTTGTTGGTTATTGCTGTGCTCTTTTTCTCATGCTTTCCATTTGTCTCTTTGTACGCCCAAGAATTTGTTTGCATTGCTTTCCCTGTGGTTTCTTAAGATGCCCTTTATGTGAATGTTTTCCTCTGCCATCCTGTATCCCGTCTTGCTTCATGTCCTCCTGATGGTCCTTCTCCAGTGCCCACTGAAGCCAATGGGACTCTCTCCATTGCACTCCATGGACGCTGGAGCAGGCTGTAACACTGTATGAGACACTTTTCCCGCCCCCAGAGGACAGGAAAGCTGTCAGCTGTGAATTTTCACAGGCTCTCTGTCCTTTTTATATCCCTCAGCCTTGCCTCCTGTGTTCAAGAAGGAACTGCAGGACTTGGAAGCCACAGATAGTGGTGCTGTCACGCTGCGCTGCGAGCTGACTAAGGCTGCTCAAGTGGAGTGGAAGAAAGGGCACCAAGTGCTCAAAGCAAGTGAGAAATACCAAATGAGGCAGGATGGGGCCATCGCGGAGCTGGTTATTCAAGAGCTAGACCTAAAAGACACTGGGGATTACACCTGCTTGTGTGGAGACCAGCGGACCGCGGCCACCTTAACAGTGAATGGTAAAAAGAAAAGGGCAGAAGTCATTTCTGACAATACACATATTATCTCAGTCTTAGTTGCTAAAGTAACTTCATGGAGGTGACCTCAGCCCAGCGCAATTAAAAAAGTGGCAGTCCATTTAAAAGAATTAGTGACAACACTAAGGTGGGATCCCTGTCTTAGTTCACCCTATGCTGAAAGAAGAGGAGAGAATTTGTAAAAGATAATAAGGAGGTGATTACAGAATAGTTAGGGTGTAGCTCTTTCTCATCCTCATCTTCATGCCCATCCTCATTCTCATCTTCATCCAATCTTTTCCAATAAGAGAAAAATGTGAAATGCTTATCTCCTAATGCAGGTCTTCAGAACAATTCTTTGTCTCTAAGTAGGTTTCCAAGATCAGAGGGTGATCTTTTGTGGCAAGAATAGACTCCTATAGGCCAATGGTCCTGGCTCATGCTGATAATGGGCATAATTCATAGCAAAAGCTGCTTTTGCAAGAAGTACGGTACCTTCTAGTTCTGAATATATATGTCCAATCTCTTTGGGTTAAAGGGCCTAGATTTCTATGGCAAATACTTGAGGTTTTGCTCCCCCAAAATACATGAAAGAGGTAGAGAATTCAAGACCCCACCATCTTATCCTTCCCAAGCTCCCCTAAGTGTTGTAGACTGCAAGGCATGTTTCTGTTTTGTAGCCCGGCCAGCCCTGTTCAAACACGAGCTTCAGAATATGGAGGCAGAAGAAAGCAGCGCCGTCACTTTGCAGTGTGAGCTCACCAAACCCAACGTGCCGGTGGGTTGGAAGAAAGGACCTACCCCTCTCTCTCCTAGCTCGAAATATGAAATGAGGCAGCGGGGCTCCATTGCTGAACTGGTCATTCATGACTTACAACTGGAAGATTCAGGAGAATATACCTGTGACTCTGGCGATCAGCAGACGACTGCGGCAGTGGCCGTACATGGTAGGCAGATCACTGCAACCCTGGACATATGCTATGAAAAGAAAATCCTGGTTTCCCCAGGGCTCTGTGTTTGCTTTCCTGATGGCCCTGAACTCCAGGGTAGGAATGGGCTTGAGTATGCTGCCATTCCTTTGAAACCTGAACAACTATCACTGGAGATTTGATGCACATTTAGTTAATAATGTCTTTGGTGCACTGTGCTGGGAAGTCAGGGAGAGATGCCAGTTCAAACCTCTCTCTAGCGGAGAGTAGACCCCAGGCTACCTTGGAGGGGTTTTGTTTGACACATGGGGAACGTTTGGGTAGCCGCAAAGTAGTTAAACCGATATAGCGATGTATGCATGCTACGCACCCAAGTCATTTGAGTGCAGCGAAGTTGGTAGCAGGTGAGATTCGGTGAGCTACTCACAGCAGTGAATTAAAGAGGCAGACCGGTGCTATCAATGCTGCTGTTTATGAATATGGCCATGCATTAAAAATGCACCTCAGGGAAAAGCGGTGTCTGGTGCAACTTTAAGGTCTTGCTCTGAATCAAAATGTTGAACATGGCTGCAGTCACTGAATTAATTGAGAGGAAAAAGAGAGATGGGGTTTTTTGTTGTTGCTGCTGAGTTCCCTGTTGTGTTTCTGGGCTACTCACTAGTTCGTGGAAGCAAAAAACAATCTTTGTTACCTCGTCCCAGTGATCAGCATCACATACTGAGGCGCTAGCATTGATGTTCAAGTAGCGCTGTCCTAACTAGCTTTCCAAGCCCCTTCTGCCACACCGATGGGATCCCCCCTGAGACATGAACCTCTTTCTCTACTTCCACTCACAAAGTTACATTCATCTCCCAGGGCACTGACCACTTCCACCACATTTTGAAAGGCATTGGCTGAGGGTTTATTGCAGGGAGAGACCTAACCCAACACTCTTGTATAAGTTTTGGGAGTTGATATGAGGATATAGGATAGCATAGGAGGCAAAATGTCCTTCCATTTTAGTCCTTGCTTCTGGCCTGGTGCCCTTTGAATGAAGCAGTCTCTGCTCTCATGGAGATTCTTCCATAGGGACGTCTGGTTAGCTCGAACCATTTGCTGTCTTCCTTGTCCGTTCCATGGATCACCTTAGGAAACGGAGCTGCTTGTGGGTTAGCTGTGCTCCTAAACTCTGCAAAATGCCATCAGCTTTTGGTACACAACATGGTCTATGCAGCAGGCTGTCAAGAAATAGTCCGCAGACCAAAGCTGGATCAACACCGGATGAGATTTTTCATGAAGGACCTGGACAGGAGGGCTCCTTTTCAGTGGGGGGGGGGGACAAAAATGTACTTAAAATGTTTTATGTCTCAAATTTTGCAGCCCTGCCAGTTGTATTTAAGCAACCTCTTCAAAACAAGGAGGCTGAGGAAGGAGGGACCGCTGCATTATGTTGTGAGCTCTCAAAACCCAATTTTCCTGTGGAATGGAGGAAAGGAGGTCTGGGGCTCCGGCCCAGCGATAAGTATGAAATGAGACAGAGGGGATGCTCTGTAGAGCTCTTAATACACAACCTCAGACTAGAAGACACGGGAGAGTACAGCTGTGATACTGGGGATCAAGAAACAAAGGCTTCGCTAAACGTGAAAGGTAGGTGATACGGGTCCCTCTCTGACCTGCCCTCACTCCTGGAGCAATAGATTTTCTCCAACACAAGTTATTCAGTAACGGTGTTGAGGCCCGTGACTTTTCTGTGTTATATTTTTTTCCTTATCTTGTAGTAATACTTTTTAAAAATAGCACCACACCATTATACTGAAAGGAAAAGCGGCGTGGACATGCACAGTACTTTGTTTGCTTTGAGTGTGCATGTGTGTCTGTACAAGCATCTGTGCGTTTGCTTGTAATGTGAGTTATTTTCCAAGTAGACATTTGGGAGAGTTTGAGAAGAGCTCTACCGCAGTTTGACTCGATGCATAGCTAATGTCATAGCTGTGCCATTAAGAAAAGTGGAATTTCTCCCTCTGATTGCCGGAAGGAGGCCACCTGAGCCTTTTCGGCTCTCCTATGGAGGTTCACGAGGATGCATTTTTGAATGCTGACATTTCTCTGCAATCAGTTCATGGATGCGTTTGCTTGATGAACTCAACCAAGGGAAGGAAAGTTGTCAAACAGCACCGGAAGGACACTTTACGAATCCATCTTGCTCCTTTGAATGTAGTGGAGTTTGTTGCCGTCATTATGGACAGATCGGAAGATATATTTTATAGTAGTCGCTTTTGGGGCTTTGTCAACATGCAGGTTCTAGGTTTCCCACAAGCAGATTCTGAACATGTTCACTAGTAGTGCTTGATTTGGGGTTAAATAAAAGCCCCTGTTATTTTCTTTTCCTTTTAGCCCTCCCAGTTCTGTTCAGAAAGAAGCTCCAAGACAAAGAAGCAGAAGAAGGAGCTTCAGTAAGACTTGAGTGTGAGCTGACAAAGGCCAATGCAGTTGTGGAATGGAGGAAAGGCACCGTGGACCTCTTCCCATGTGCCAAATATGAACTGAAATTGCAGGGTCACGTCGCTGAACTTGTCATTCACAACGTGGAACCAGGAGACGCCTCTGATTACACTTGCGACACTGGAGACCAGCAGAGCACGGCAGTCCTCAGAGTGAACGGTTAGCATTGTGCCCAAAGGAGCAAAATGTTATTGTGTGCCATCATATGGAAGATACGCTGGATTTCTTTATAGTCATCAAAGTGAATATAAGACGAGCGAGAGAAAAGCAGGCATAAAAATCATGCACAATCATAGAGCGCACAAGAGGAGTCTTGCAGAACAGTTCCCAAAAGAAGGGCTGTTCAGGTGCAAAATGCCTCCTTTTGTGTCCCACATGTATTAACATGTACACCAAACTACACGCTCTGTAACAGCTTTATGATTGTAGCAACTCTTGTACTGATTGTACATGATTGTACATACAACTCTTGTATGATTGTACATTTATTCTTCTTCCTGTTTGGCAGTGTGGATTCCAGTGAATAGGCAGGCACGTTCATCCTCAACCAGTTACAAAAGCACTGTTAAGACCAAGTGATTTCCATCTTCAATGCTCTGCATTGTTTGTTTAAACGCTTTGAGCATTGAAACAAACCGGAAATCGTGTGCGTCTCTAGTCGCCGTATTAGCCTGTCTTGTAAAAGTTGTGTGGCTTTTGTCGAAGAGGTTGGATGGAATCGCTTCTTTGGTCCGAACAGTGCCCTGGCTGGCTGGATGCACAGAGCGTGTCAAATGTTGCATCTTCGGTGAAGGATGATTGTTGAGAAGCTAAGGATTTTGAAAGGATAGTGACAGAGAACATGTGTACAAACTGGAGTCTCCGCTCACTTACGTTGGTGTAAATCAGGAATAATGCAATGAGAATCAATGCATTTACACCGGTTTTAGAAGGGAAGAATCAGACTCCGCTTAGAATGGATGCTAATGGCATTAGGAGTCAGGGTGCACAACCTGGTGCTTCAGAAGAAGGCTCATGGGAGAGATCCTCCTGAGGAAGAAACCCTAGACTTTATGTGAAATAAAAGCTTTAGATAAACAGCCCTCAGCTTGACCTTCTCCAGGTCCAGGTGAGGCAACCAGTTTGGTGTGTGTCAGGATGCTGATGTACAAATTTACTCCGCAGTCTGAGGCCCCTTGTGTTGGATTGTTCCTTGGTTGATCTTTCAGGACCCAAGCACGTAGCTAATGGATTTGTCTATTGGCTGCTTTTGACTCCACAGCCATCAAACCCCAGTTCACGCGGCAGCTGAAGAACGAGGAAGCAGAAGTTGGAGGAAAAGTCAAACTCCGCTGTGAGGTCACGATCGCTAACGCTACAGTGGAGTGGGAGAAAGACGGCACGGTGCTTCAGTCCGGTCCCAAGTATGAAATGAGACAAGACGGTACCATTCACGAGCTGCATATACATCGCTTGGAGTCAGCGGATGCTGGAGAGTACTCCTGCATTGCTGGGGAGCAGATGAGCACTGCAGTGTTGACTGTGAAGGGTAAGAGCTGGTGGCTGGGGGCACAGATTTTCATTAGGAGCTGAGACTTCACAGTCTAATACTCACTACTTACGAAACAGGCTTGAAAAATGTACCCGGAGTACATGCTTGTTGTCACAGGATAACAGAAATTTAAAATCTCATGGCTCCGACCGGGGCAGGTGTGAAAATACCATTGTGTCCCCACCAGGGAAGCATTTTTCTTTGGAGTCGGCCCAAGATCATGAAACATAGCCCCATGGTATCTCAACCTTTCGTCCACCCCTTACTATTTTCCATTCCATGAGCAATACAATCATCTTTGCCTTTGTTTTCAGTGGCATAAGCATACCATCATGCAACATCAAAACATAATTAATACACAATATATTCATTGGAAAAAGGGGGGGATAACCCTTGTGAGGGCTGTTAGCTATACTGCTCCATATACTGCTCAGAGGTGTTCAACTACCAGGGTGAATAGGGATGTGATACTAAGTGCTCAAATACCAGGGTGAATAGGGACATGATACCAAGTGCTCACATACCAGGGTGAATAAGGATGTGATTTGATAAAGTAGTCCAGTAGTTTTGTAGCATTAGGATTAACCACTCTTATGGATTTTGGTCCTTGAGACACCTTTCGCTCTTCTACTAATGAATCTTGCAACATTGGCAGAACCTGATGTGACCATCGTTAGTGGCCTGAAGAACATGGTGGTTTTTGAGGAAGAAGACGCCGTGTTTCAGTGCAAGGTGTCTCACGAGAATGCAAAGGACGTGGAGTGGAAGCTACAGGATGTTGCGCTGCAAAGCAATGAAATGAATGAGATCTCTGTGGAGCAAGGCAAGATTCACACGTTGAGACTGAGGAAGGTCACCCAGCAGGATACGGGCACCATCACTTTCCGAGTGGGGCCATACACATCCACAGCAGAGCTCACCGTGAAAGGTAACAAGCTTCATGGTCTGGGAGGGAGATGGCTTTTGGGAGAGCCGGCAACATTAAAATGTCCAGGAAACTGAGCTGAATGCAGCTTACAGAGGCATCGGCTGCACGCAGCGTAGAACTGCTATGACCAGACACATTACCAAGATTGGCTGTCTATTGATAAAGCACCTCGCTTTTCCCTGTTGTTTCCTACCCTTCTCCACCGTATGGTATATAGAGCTTCTCACTCAGAAAAATCATTCCTTGTTCTTCTTCCACATTTTGTAACCGCTGTCTAGGTCAAGTCACCATCATGCCTGAATCAGGCTAAATGCATTCAGTGTGCCTAATTTGGGCTTCTTTATGTTGGGGCAGTTTTTAAGAGGGGCTGAGTCTAAACTGTAGGCTTCCACTTATAACATGTACGTAGAAAATAAACCTCTTTTCAGCATTTAATAGTCCATTGTCGCGATTGCAAGGCAATTAATGGGGGAACAAAGCGTTTTGAAGAGTTCCAGACTGAGTAGAAGAGAATAAGTGGTTGAAAGTGGAATTAGGAAAATGATATTAGGCATTTGTAGGCTCCTGGATTTCCATCTTTCCTATCTTTATCATTTCAGCATTGCCCCCGGTCTTCAAAGAGAAGCTAAAGAACCTAGATATGCAGGAGGACGGTACGGCTGTCTTAGCGTGCCAGGTCTCTCAGCCCAATGTCTCAGTGGAGTGGAGGAAGGGCTCCCAAGTGATTTCTTCAAGTACCAAATACGAAATCAGGCAAGAAGGGATGACCCATACATTGAAGATTTATAATTTAAAACCAGAAGACTCCGGAAAATACACTTGTGATAACGGAAACCAGCAAACGACAGCCCTGTTAACTGTCCAAGGTAGGTCGTTGGGGTTTTTGAAATGAGATGCTTGTTCCTGATTATGATGGGCACCGTCCAACTTCTCCCAAATAGTTTGAGCCAGCATCTCAACTGATCCTTTGATTTCAGGGGAGGTATTATCATGCTGGGTCATGGGTGGCCAAGTCCGGGAGGTCATTCAGGGCTCGAGGGACCCATGGGTTCAGGTGGAGTGAGTGGATTCCAGGGACAAGCTGGATCAGGAACCAGGAGGTCAATCTGGCCACTGGATCTGGGGGGTAAACTGAGCCAGAGGATCAGGCAGAGCAGAGTTGTGGGGCAAGGCAAGTTGAGAAGCCAGGAGGTCAAAGAGAGAACAGGCAGAGGCACAAGCCCTAAGGAACAGGGAGGCAAACTGGGTTCAGTTTGAGCTCCCTTGCCCAGATGCTTCCTGGTCCTGCTCCAAGGTTTATATGGGAGGGAGTGAAGGACTGGTTGAACCTGAGCAGCCACCCCGGTAGCAGGGAGTAAGCAGATGGCTGGGCCCTGATGGAGATTTCTGGCCAACACTGCTGGACCTAAATGGTCAGCTAGAGAGGTGGGAGATTGGACCGAGCGGCTAAACGGGGCAGATCGAGGCCCCATGTTTAAGGCTGTGGCCTGACAGTTGTTCTGATTTACACAGCTGAAGATCCACACTTTTTTTTCAGAAATTATGCTAAGTGCTAGTTTTGAATAGCGTTAGAGTGATGTTGTAGCCTCGGCGGTCCAGGAATGACATGAAAGGCAAGGATTTTGGGGGGGGGGTGATATCTTTTATTGGATCAGTTACGTGGCTTGAATAAAATTAGATGAGCTTTTGAATGCAAGACATTCTTCATCAGGTTTCTGAATAGCATAAGACAGATTTATTTCAATCCACTAGTGAATCCAATGAACCTTGGCATGTGCATGGATGCTAAACAGTTATGAAAAACTTTTACTGCACATGTGCAGCTGCTTATAAATCTTACTTGCCTATTATCATAGCTTATATTGTGAAAGCAAAGGATGAATATCTACCAGCTAGGAGGCCAGGCTGAGTTGGCTGAAGTTCTCCGCAAGCAACACCTGTACCTCTCTGCCAGTGTGTTTTGGTCCTGAGCTGAGAAAGCTTGAAGTCCAGATCTGGACCACTGTAGATTTTAAGGCCAAAGAGGACTGTTAGATCATCCAGTCTGGCCTCCTGCATACCGCAGGCTTTAAAATGTCCATTATTTTTTATTTTCCTGAGCCCAGTGATTATTCAGCCAGTCCACCACAATCCTCATATTAAGAGCTCTTTGTTATTGGCCTCAGATGCCATACACCAAAAATATGTGGTTCTTCACGATCAGATAACAGTCCTGATGCTGCTCTCACTTACACCAGTATAAATCAGGAACTATTTCATAGAAGTCAATGCAATTACAGAAGTAAAAATTATCTAAAAACTGACTTGGGCGTAACATTAGTATCCTTAGTTGTACGCCTGAACCAAAGGAAGGCATCCAAAATGTGGCTGTCAACACAGAGGCCACCAAAATGACTGAACACTTCTGAAAGTATAGGCTTAAAGGCTTGTGTTTACAGCAAGGCATGGCCAAGCCTAAGATTCGAGCCCAGATCATTTTGGCTCCTAGACACCTGTCAATTCACTAAATTACAGTATCAGGCAGAGACCCTTAAATATATTCCATCACTGCATGCACCAAAGTACCTTTCCCAGTCTCAGCCTGGGTGTGCCCGATGTGCTGGCTCCCTGCACAGCCCCGCTCCCCCCGCCAATGCTCTGTGGCCACAGCCGATGGGCGATCCATGCATGGGGGAGCATGGTTTGCAGCCATGCCTGGGGTGGGGCATGGAGAGCGACACTGTGTAGCTGTGCATCATGCCCCCCCTACACCTAGCACACCCCATAGCCACAGTTGGCAATCACTCCTGCAGCAGTGGGGGCTGCGCAGTCACAGGGTGCCACATGGGGAGTGGGTGCGGGGGGTGCACTGCACCCCGCAGATGCATGCTGCAGCTGGTGGGTGCTCCTTGCGCCTGTCCCCCACCCCCTGTGTGTCCTGTGCACCCCGCACCCAGCTGTAGCTGGCGGGCAATCCCCCACAGATGTGGGAGCTTTGCACACCAGGGGCTAGAGGCACGACTGCAGGGTGCCACATGGGGAGCCAGTGTGAGGCGTGTGCCCCACCTCGTGGCCATGTGGTACAGCCAGTGGGCTCTGCCTACGTACCCCACGCCCGTTCCTTGCATGGTGCCCTGCGGCCACATGCAAGACCCCCCCATGCCATGTACCACACCCCCACATGGCCGTGCCACGCTCCCTCTCCTATCATCTCCCCTCTCCCACCGTGCCGTGGGGCACACCCTGGCCCCCACGCCTCTGCCTCCGCCTGTCTGTCCATCTGTCAGTTAAGGCTCCAGGCCACACAGGTGCAGTTGGCCCAGAGCATTATGGACAGACAGACACACAGCTGGAAGTGCCACAGCTTTTATTATATTAAAATTTTACTAGGGTCATGTATAAAAATACATTATGTCAGACATGCTATTTTATTTTGTTATTTTAAGACACAGAATTGGTCTCAAAGTTCAGGGGAAGTGAAATGAGTCAAAATGTCATGTGAGAATTGTCACTTGAAGACTCTTCCAGTTTCATTTGGCTGTAGTATGACCCCTCATTGCATCTGCTATTGGTAGGGGTCTATCTAGATCCCGGGGAGACTTACCGACTTTCGTGGTGTTAAGTTCTCATTCGGTGGTCATTTCATGGTGGCCCTGCCCATCAGCATTGATTGGCAGAGAGGCCCTTCCCCTTGGCACTGATTGGTGGAGAGGCCCTGGGAAGGTAGAGGGATGAAGGTGCAACCACCATCTTGATTGTTGGCTGCTCTTCAAGTGGCCTTGCCCCTTGGTACTGATTACCATAGAGGTCCTAGCGGGGGAAGAGAGACGAGGGGGCAGTAGCCGTCTTGACTTATCTGCTGCCCTTTGTCCCACCACGCCAATTGGTGCCTTCCCCTCCTGGCAACGAGGACTGCTGGCTTCCACTGGGGAGCCAGCATTTAATTTTCATGAAGTTTTTGTTGTTATTGTTGATTTTGCAGATTTCGTGGACCATCCCGAATTTGGTGGTTTCCACGAAATCTGTGAAACCACAAATGAAGTAGGTCCCGAGTTACTGGTGCACCCCAGTGAATCAAGCGCCGTTGTGCTGTGTGGGGATGGGTGTGCTGAACGGTGTGCTAGGTGACCCGATCTGCTTTTCTCGGGGGGTCCCAGGCATCCCAGCACTATTTGAAAAAACCCTCCAGAACCAAGAAGCCGAGGAGGGCTCCACTGCCACCCTGCATGCCGAGCTCTCAAAACTCGATGCGCCAGTGAAGTGGCGAAAGGGCTCAGTCCTGCTCCAAAGCGGTGCCAAGTATGAGATGAGGCAGTCGGGATCCAGTGTGGAGCTCCTGATTCGTGACGTGCAGCTGAAGGATGCCGGAGACTACACCTGCGATTCCGGCGATCAGCAGAGCACTGCATCGCTGCTGGTAAAAGGTGACGAGGCATTTCCTGTCCCTTTTTATGCATTTTGGGTTTAGTTTGAATGCGTCGGTTCTCCACGTGGCATGAAGCTCGAGGACTGTGGGCATAGCCCCTCGGCACCCACAGTTATAAAGTGTTGCAGCACTTCCATCTGCAGCCTCCATCTGTGGCTGTTGCCATCAGCCTAGCGGTGTCTCCGTGCAGGCTGTAGGCAGACAGAGGCATCATGGGGCCTCTGTGGTTCTTGTTATTCAGGCAGCTTATTTACGCTATAGGTTCTCCAATGTAACGCGTGTTCTTGCTGGCTGTTAGGATGCCCGGAACAGCAACGAGGAGGCTGCACCACTACAAAATAACCCTTTTCCCTTCCTTTCAACAGCCCTTAAATGCAGCTGCCCTATAACCCCCCTGGGACTAGCATCCAGCAGCTGGGCATGACACCCATGGGACTTTGTACACACCACAAAATTGGCCTTTAAAGTGGCTTCAGTGCCCTTTTCCACCGCTTTAATGGTGTTGCTGTTTGCACGCTCAGTGGCATAATCCACTTCAATGGTGTTGCTGTTTGCACGCTCAGTGGCGTATTCCATTTTAGATGACTTTGGTACTTAGCAAGATAAAACACCTCTGAGATGTTTTAGTTTGCTACCTAACAAAGTGCAGCAGTGCACGGGGCGCTGTAAGCCGGCGTGTTCGGGGCTTGGCAAGCCCCGCGCAGCTCAGGGGTGGTGGGACCCAGCAGCAGCTCATGCGGGGGGGATATAAGTGCTTCCCTCTGCTGCTGTGGTGCCCCTCAAGACCTCCCGGGCCAGGTGCCAGTGGGTGGGTGCCACCTGGGGGGTCCCCATGCAGCTCAGGGACCATTCAGCCCACCAGCAGCTCCCTTCTATCCTTGCTGCCGAAGAGGCAGGTAAGGATTGGGCCCCCACCCTTGTGTACATGCCACGAGGGTTTAGTTTGGTTTAATTCTTCTTAAATTGAAAAATGTTTTTAAAAACCCACCATTTCAATTTAGGGAGAACTAAACAGAGTTAGTTTCGTGGCATGTACAAGCACCCAGCCATTTTGGTGTCCTCAGCGCCTGCTGCATAATGGCCATGGCGTGTACAAGCAACCCCCACCTTCATTTCCTATCAATGCCTCCTATATTTTCCGAACAAAACCTCCCTCCCCTGTAACTCTCCCCTTGTGCGTCATCGATACCGAATTTACCCCTGGTGGTGTTAATGCAAACAGTTCCTTTACCAGATCCAGCTTTCCGAGATGGGCACATGAAGGGCAGATGCTCGTTTCCTCCTTTGGGTTCCAGCAACCTAACGATCCAATTTAGGCACTTGAGTGCTAAGGTCGGTACCCAAATGCAGAACGAAATGCTCATGTTACAGCATGGGCTTCTGCTTCTGGGAACAGTGAGCTGATTTGCAGCAGGCACTAAGCGGCCAGCCGTTCATGCTGTTTTGGGCTGGAGTTCTGGGTATTCAGCATCTCAGAAAATGAGGCCTTCCAGATTCGCACCCCAAGAATAACAGCATTTAGGAAAGCATGTAAGGGTTGCTGGGGTTTACTGTAAGCATCGCTTAGACCCAAGCCCACCAGGGTTCATTTCTACAATCGCTAATGTTGATGTGAAACGAATTAACCCATTGCTCCTGCGGGACTGATTCTGCTGGAAAGAGGATCAAATGGCACACCTGCGTATGAAAGCCAGCAGACCAGAAAACAGCCCTTGATCAGGGGCGTATCAGAAAGTCAGTTAAAGAGGGTCACAAATGAAGAGTAATTGTGTCTTTTCCTGCTTATCTTGGCTTAGCTTTGCCAGTGCTTTTTATACAACCGCTGCAGAATCAGCAAGCGGAAGAGGGTGGCACCATCACCCTGAGCTGTGAGATCTCTAAACCCAACGCCCCTATCAAGTGGAAGAAGTCAGGGAAATTGCTGCAGCCCAGTGACAAGTATAAGATGCACCAGTCAGGCCTCGTGGCCGAGTTGACAATTTGTAACCTGAAGGAAGGCGATGCTGGGGAGTACACCTGCGACACGGGAGACCAGCAAACCACTGCAGCACTGTCTGTGAAAGGTGGGCCTTTGCACTGGCTTTTGACTGATGGATCATTTCAGCTCATATGCATGGCACCGCAGTGAAATACGGTGTCATCACAGTGTGGTAGCATAATATCCTGCTGTATCTGGTCCTAGCAAAACAACAAAGTTCGGCCTGTGACTTTGCAGAAGCAGAGCAGGGCCCTTAGAGAGTCAAGAGCTTCGTATTACTTACTGAAAAATGTTTGCATATTCCCAGAATAATATTGTGGTAAATGCCCAAAGAGCTTTGAGCATGCCATGTTGTCAATGATGATGATGATGGGTGTTTAAAACAGGGGAGCGCGGTGAGATGTTTGAAGATGTGCTTAAAACCATTTTAACTTTCTCTGTCAAAGAGCCAGCAGCAAGCATAGTGGAGGTGCTAAAGGACATCACCTTGTATGAAGGAGAGGACGCCGTGTTCGAATGCAGGCTCTCCCAGGAGAACGTCCAGGACGCGCAGTGGTGCCTGGGAGGGGTCCCTCTCCAGGTCAATGAAATGAATGAGATAAAAGTGCAAGGGAAGCTTCACACCCTGACCCTGCGGAGGGTCACGCTAGAAGACTCCGGTCCCATCAGTGTCAAAGTGGGGGCTCATACCTCCGAGGCCCAGCTCACAGTGCAAGGTGAGCAAGCCACCCCCATGAGACGTGTGGTTTCCGTGCAATAGTTATTTCCTTACGATCTATTGACCTATTTATTTAGATATATATCCTGCCCTAGGCAGAAAGGCCCAGGGCAGTTTGCAATAAAAGACAAACAACCCACCAAAGCAGCAACAGATTCCCCAAAGGACACCCTAGAAATGCCACCCTACTCCTCCTTCCCTCCAGCACCCAGGGAGAGCGGGGCACCCCCCCATCCCAGCTGTGCTTCCCAACTCTTCCCAGCCCCCATTCACATCTAGGTATAGAAAATCACTTCCTACTTCCCTGCCCCCTTGCCCACTGACTTCCCATTCCCCTGCCTCTCACCCAAAGGAGATCCCGCTCCTTTCTGCTGCAGAGTGTCCGTGGCCACCCCCAACATGCATACTCCCTCCCTTCCCCTCAACAAACACAATAAGACATTTAAAAGAGCCAGATCACGGGGATACCGAAAGCCACACCATCCCCAGCTAAGGGCAACACTAAAGGGTGCCCATGAGTGACTATGGGAGGACTTTTTTTTAATGCACCTTTTTTTTCAGACTCGTAATCATAATCAGACCTTTCAGCAGAAACCTGTCATGCAGAAATGCAGGACTGAGAGGGAGCCACTGAGTCCCAGCCCCTGCGTTTTCTGCCTAATACCTCTTCAGTCCTGTGATCCCATTAGACTTGTGGCCCTAACTTTCTCCATCATGTCCTTTCTCTATCCAGTCTGCCTTCTCTTCAGACTCCTTAACGATCTAGATAGGCCCAGAATCAATCTGGCCTTCCTTGATGCCTGTTCAGTGAGTTTTGCCCCAGGCTTACCCACCATTGCTGCCCTGGGTCTGTCTTCCTCCAACAGGAGCTCTGTCCATCTGCTCCTCACTGCTGGAGCCCTTCCCTTATATGACTCTCAGCCTGTCTGGTGGTCCTTAAAGGACTCTGTCCCTTCTCCCCTGCCATGGGGGTTGCATGTCTTTGTTACAGAAAGGGCCTCAAGACTCATCTGGTCAAACTCCCTGCACGAATGCTGGAATGCCGTTCCCAAACTATCCGTATCCGACACTTATCCAACTGTTTATGAAACTTGGGTATGTCCCTGTAGCGACAATCCAGCCACAATCAGACATCCCCAAGAAACCACGAACCTCACTCCGATGGTCATCATCGGTAGTCAAAATGAAGTCTGCAGCAAAATTATCCTGAATCTGGTACAATACCACTGTCTCTAGATAATAATATTCTGCAACTTTTAGGAACTCCAGTGACATGTTGGTACTGGCTGCAGGAGACTTGTGTTCTTGCCCCAAGCTATCCCCCAAGCTATGTCATTAGGAGGGATCCTGGTTTTCTCTGATTTAAAAAAAAATCTCTAACTTTCAGTTAAAAAAAAGTAACCCCAAATCCACATTTTTTCTGTGACTTAAATGAAACACCGCTAATATATAGATATACGTGTAGCAGTGTTTCATTTTAATCATGGAAAATGTAGATTTGGGGTTCCTTTTTTTCAACAGAAAATTGGGGATTTTTTTTTTAAATCAGAGAAAACCAGGATCCCTGGTCATTAGTCAGCTCCGTGTGGCGTGCAGGTCCTCTGTGGTCTACAATACTACGTGCTGGGGATTTGCACTAGTGCAAATCGTAGGATCACAGGAAAGTAGGACTGGAAGGGACCTCACAAAGTCTCTAGTCATGCCCCCTGCAGTATCATCCCTGACTAAAAAATCCCAGCCAAGTGTTTGTCTAACCTTTTCTTGAAAATGTTCAAGAGTGGAGATTCAACAGCTTCTGTAGGTAGCCTGCTCCAATGCTTGACCACCCTCATAATCAAAGTTATTTCTAATCTGTAGCTTAAATTTTCCCTGCTGCATCTTGAGGCCATTGCTCCTAGTTCTGTGCCCTATGGCCACAGAAGAAAATCCCATTTCCATTTTGCTGGCATAACCAATGGAAGATTTCAATCAAGCCCGGCTTATCTCCGACAAATGGAATAGACACATGATGAAGTCTCACCATTCAAAGGAGCTATTCTGAGTTTCTTGTGCTCACAGATATTCAAGTCCCCTGACTCCATGCCCAGCTACATTTATGCAGCAGTGCTATCTCTATTTTTACAGAGGCCCCAGTAACATTTGTACGACTGCTCCAGAGCCTGGAAGCCCAGGAGGGCGATTCAGCAGCTCTGCGCTGTGATGTGTCCAAGCCTGACGTTGCTGTGCAGTGGAAGAAAGATGCATCCCTGATCCAGTCCAGCAAGAAGTTTGAGATCAAGAAGGAAAGGACTACACATACTCTGATCATTCATGATTTAAAGCCTGAGGACACAGGGGAGTATAGCTGTAGCACAGCTGACACAAAGACAACTGCCAACCTTGAAGTTAAAGGTGAGGATCTGTGCCCGTGCTCTGAAACTAGCCATAGTGCAGTACTATGTCCTCAAGTGTTTATACCCTAAAACTGCTCTTGAATGCAAGGGTTTCACCATGCCTCCCCGTGCCACTCTGCCCTGCCACGCTGGGTCCCATCTGCTGGGCCACGGAGGATCCCCTGGGAAGAGCAGCAGGGCAGGGAGCTCCAAGCCTGCAGCGGGCAGCCTGCATCTGCCTCTGTCCCATGGGCTCTATGCAAGTAAAATAAATGCAATGGTGGTTTTCCGAACAGATTTAGCTTTATTTTGCAGATATGGTTAAATCTGCTTTCTGGTTTATATAAGCAGCGCTCCAGTTCAAATCACTGGGCTTTTCAAATCCCAAACCTAACTGGCAGCGCTTTGGAAAAATGTGCATCATCCTTGATTTGGCTGAGAGAGGTAAGTCAAAAGTGGAACCGCTGCAACTTCAGAGGTTCAGATGAATTCACATCAGGCCTCGTTCTGCCTGTTGAAAACCTGCAACCTCACCAAGTTAAAACTGAAAAATGAAACCAAATCTTTCCATGCCCCCCATCTGACGTCTTGCTGGAAACCCTTCATCACTCTGAACGGCCTTTGAGGACAGAGGCCCTACATTAGCCTCCAGTGCGAAACTACTCTGTAAAACATTACAGTATACATTACATCACAATATTACATTACAGCAAGTAAATGATTGACCGGAAAACTATCCTTGAATCTGATACATCTTGGCTAAATGCAGACATTCAGGGGGGTTATGGGGAAGGTTAGAGCAAGTTAAAAATGGCCACCAGATCTAACTTAGTTCAACCTGGCTCCACGGGAGCAATTGGGGGGACAGTGGGGCGGGGGTAGTCAGCATCTGCAGAGGGATCAGAGGAGCAGGGGGGTTTCACAGGAGTGATGGGGGGGACGGCGACATCCATGGGGAGATGCGGGGTGGGATCTGCAGGAGCGATGTGGGGGGCAGGAGGCATCCATGGGGGGATGCAGGGACAGATGGGATCCATGGGAGCGATCAGCGGGGAGGCAGTGTCTGTGGGGCTTGCTCATGGGGGACACTGGGGTGTTTTGCAGGTGACTGGGGCTATTTTTAGCCCCCAAAGACCCCTGATCCGCCTCCAATTCCCCCAACTCCCTCTGCTAGCCCCCCCATCCCAAATTACTTTAGATCAGGTGGCTATTTTTATCATGATATAACCTGCCCTGTGTCTTCACTTAGCCTCTCTCCTATCCTACATGCCTATAACCTCAACAGAAGTGAATGCAGGCAGACCTCGTCTCACTACT